AGACGAAGATTATCCTCGACCTCTTCATATGGTAGTCCCGGCCCCCCTCCCCACGAATTCAGCAAAGAAGTGCGATATTTTCGGACTTTGATCGAAACTTTCCAGGGTCCCGTAAATTCACCTGATATTTTAAAGAACTGCTATTAAGAGTAACTTGAGCCATTTTCCACTGATCTCCTTGATCGCCGGACAGGGACCAAACTTTCCTCAGGCTACCCGTGACAGGCTTGATATACACATTCAACTCTCCCATCCCTTCGCCATACATGTGGTACCAAAATGTCAGACATCGACCTCCAGTTGCTGGGAAGGTTTGGCTGAGTAATTTCGCCTTCTCGCCTGCACTAATGCCACTAGTTTCCACGAATAGGTAGTGGCCTGAAGAGAAAGAAAATTCACTGAGATAATGTATTATAATGTATTTTCTCGCGTTATGGAATGCACGCTTGTTGTAGTGATATTTCAGATGTTTAACAAATTGCCGTCACCTCAGTTTTCATGTGTCTCTTCAGTTATTGATCTTGAATTTCGCGCTAACATTGTCAAAGCTGTGGATCGCCGAGTGGATCCGTAGACTAGTACTGCGGATGAGAAAATTAAGGACAGACGTTTGAAAAAATGACGTTAAATTTGCTTTTTACTCTAAATTATCGCATAAATTATAAATTCATGTGTCTGTCCGCCTATTGGCAACGAAAATTAGCCAATGAGTGCGCGAGAATTGGTGCAGTTATTGCGAAATCGGTATTCATACTTAGTATTGTTTCGCTTTTGTAGAGCGCATGACTATTGGTATTTCGGTATATCAGGCCGGGGGCGGGTGTTTTTTTCTTTTTTTTCACTCCAGTGCATCTCTCGCTTATGACATTTCTGTGGTTTTTCTACCCTTTTCCTTTATTTTTGCTGTTAGTTTAAAGCCATAGCTGAATAGTTTAAGTTTTGTCCTCGTTTCACTGCGGCGTGATTGGAGAACGTTGTAATATTCATTCAGACAGATTATCACAGACTTTCGCTGATAAGATCTAAATGAAGAAGTTGTGAGCAGCGACAGTTTCTGTAACGCCAAGGAGTCTAGCCTCGGTTTTCAAGTCTTGTCCCAGCGACTTAGCTAATAGCGCGCCTTACAATAAAGCGGTTTCCATCATGTCCACTTGCGGTCTGGCCTACTTGCGGCTACATTGGTCCAAAAAACAACTATTTTGGCCTAATACTGTGTTACGAATACACGTTTGCCTGTTTAACCAGGCAAGTGAGTTCTCACCAAGACTGTTCTCGCAAACAATAATTGATCACCCGAGCTCGTTTACAAGCGAAATATCGAGAAATGACAACCGCCTAAAGGGGGCAAGCTCTCTTCACTCATAGCTTTGTCTGATACCCCAAGCGGATCAACAGTCACGTTCTTATCTCGCAAGTAGTAGCTAGTCTTTACTCTCAAGGACGAGACACGCTATGTTCCGCTGTGCAATGGTTGGGCTCAAGCCTGACTCTTCCCCAGTCATTTGTCATCTCTTGATGTTAGAAGACTGGCAACCAGGATTGTTTTGATTGGTTACCTGAACCTGACGTGTGGTCCCCGGATGGTCCTGTCTTGCTTGATAGGGTGCTGCCAGTGTTTCGCTCCCAGTTGAAGTTTGATGGATTATTTGGATCATTTTTCCAGTGACACATGCCATCAAAGTCAAATTCACAGTCATCGGGCCCTGAAATACGAGAACATAAATGGAAAGACTGTGTTTCTGTATGAAACCATGGGAAACGCGAACGCTTAACTCAAGCATCGTGGTTGATTGCTTTTTAGCTTCGAGAAATCAACGAGAACCTCCAATTATAATCTCAGTACAAAAGCAAAGGTTTAAAAACAAAACAAAGATGACACATATTGATGGCTGCTTATACTTTCGTAAATGCTAGACGAACATTTCATCGGCCTCCATTGGTCGGTGTCGACCATGGACTATGCACCCATGTGGTCGTTTCCTGCTGTAGTGACGTCACGGCTGAGACAGCATCGGCTGTGGTTGGTCAGTCCGATTCTGGAGTGGCTAGTGAGGTGGCAGTCTCCACCGCAAGTGTGGGTGTTCGTAGGGTTGTCTCCACAGAGGGGTCATCACTTTGCAACCACTGTGGCCATGGATTGCTAACATTTACTCTGTACGATAGGAAGTGAATGCTGGCTACAGCTAGTTGCAAAAATGTTGATACAGTAAAAGTTGTGCAAAAAATTAAATGGATTTACGCACTTAAATGGATCGCAAATAAAAAAATTGTCACAGAATAACAATCAGTCCCCCTCTCCCCAATTCACTGTTGTTCATTTAAGTTTTGTACATGATATTACTTAGCTGGTAACATTGCAAAGGGAGGGGGGAGGAGTGAAGAGTTGTCTCTCGTTAAGGTAAAATGTCTCAGCTACTTTTGCAACTGGTTTTAGCTCGAAGCATTGCTCGTGTGATAAAAGCCCACAAAGCATTCCGTGATGTTCGATTCTCTTCTGTTTCATTTACCTACCAATTCCACAAGACTTCAGCTTGCACACTTGCGAGCTCTTTGAACTTCCAACGCACGGTTTGCCTTGATACCTTGGCGGGGGGTCGTCACAAGACCTCGTTCGGGTTTGCTTTCCAAATCCACATTTAGCGTCACACAGACCCCATGATGACCAGCGGCCCCAGTGACCATCGATGGGAGCTATAAAAACAGATAAAAACAAACAAATGTCTAAAATTTGAAAATAGAATACATTATTATAGGAAATTAACCCTCGTGTTTATTAACGTATTTGAAATTAACACGACTTAAATTAACGCGAATTGAAGGTAAATTTGCTTCCCAATAAAGGAAATTAACGCGAGAGAGGGGGCAAAGTTTCAAAATGAGGGAAATTAACGAGTCTGCTACACCAAATTAAAAAAAAAAAAACAGAATTTGTTGAGAACAGGAACCAATTTATTGTAACACTGTAAAGCTGACAGCGAACACGAACAAAATTCAGTTGAAGTACAATAAACGATTTACTAATGTGAAAGATTGATGTGAAATGTAAAGTGAGCGAATAAAATTCATTGTTTGGCTGTGTCAAGAATGTCTGGAGTGTGTCACAGATTTGGGGGAAAATAATGGCAGTTAACTTCGCGGAAATTAACGCGCAACTTAATTAACAGCGCGGAAATTAACATTAACATAAATTAACGCGACTTAAATTGACGCGAATTTTTGAAATTCGCGTCAATTTCATGAAGCGTTAATTTCCTGTGATAAGGTAGCATTAACGATGACCTCTTCAAACGACCAACGAGTTCGTCGATGTTTTAAATAGCTAGCACAAGTTACTGCAGAAGTGACTAAACGTTGATGATATTAATGCGGTCATGAAAACACAACAATTGACCGCTTAACAATAGGATTATGAGCTCAGGATTTCTAGTGCATGATCAATCGAGAGCGAATAGTCTAATTATTCAGTCTAGTATAAATCTGTTAGTCGTTCAAAGCTTCATCTAAATCCTCTTCACGGGCACTTCGAAAACGCCAAGAAGCGGCTGCCATTTTGTGAGCAACCGCACAGTGCTGGTTTATGCTAATATATTATAATCTGTTATGCGTTATGTTATGCATTTTAATTTGTTGTTAATTACTAGTATATTAATGTCTGTTTTTCACTGGTATAACTATTTCGATTTGGGCTATTTTAAGTTTGTATATATTAACTTTAATTTGGACGCACAACTTCATTGTGAATAACTGTGAGCTCTCTGAATTACATGCTTAATAAAGTGTTTGATTTGATTTGGCTACTCCGCACTATCTACAACAGAAGAGATAGTGAATAGCGTAGCCAATCAGAGAACGGCATTCGTGATAAAATGCAAGTAGATTTAACACTAAAACCAGATACGTAAAAATATCGTGGATCCGTTACCAGGACTGATCATGAAAATACAGAATATAGCGTTTTCTGGTAAAAGGTATTAAAAAACATAAGCGTCTTTTGTCTTCAACGGACAAAACTTTGTGATTTTTATCCGTCGAAGACAGTAGACAGGCTGCCGAAAGCTTATGTTTTTTAAATACTTTTTACCTGAGAACGTTATATTCTATATTATCATAACAGCAGATAGCTGACCATGACACTCTTTGACATCGCACTTGACTTGGTCCACTTGCACTCCATACGGATCCGCTCCAGGGCAGTCGTTGCTCGGATCACTGGAGCTGCAGAAACGTTGTCGGATTTTATCGCAGTAGGTACTGCATGGACCAAATGCAGACCAAGAACTCCAGCTGCCATTTGCTAGTGATCAAGAACACAAGGAACAAACGGACATGTTTACTGTGAAACGTTTGAACTGAAAAAGGGCTGACACTTGAAACATCACCTTCATTGACTTGCATCGGCGGTTTATTTACTTTCATGAACTTCATGTCGATAAAGACCGTTAAGTTTTTCATTTTCCCGTCAGCGCAGCCCACTATGCCATTTCCATTAAAAACTAATAGGTCTGGTTAATGGTGGACCTAAGACCTGCCCGCAGAAATCCTATGAAACCTTTAACAGAATGAGGAAGGGCTCGTGCATGCGTTCAGACTTGGACAACTTTCACTTCGTAAACCAGAAAATGTCACCTGTCAAGTATATGAGATGTAAATGCATGCATTGGTGGGACAGTTAAGGGTCTATGGCGGTGACCTGCCTCAATGAAATTTGAGCAAACGTCGCGTTTAATATTCTCAACATTTCATTTTTATCGCTCAAATAGCTATTCGCCGTCTTGCGCAGAGAAAGATATACGTTACATATATCCTTCCAAACTGTTTCTTCAGCCCCTTAAGAGATCGGCTATTTAATTTGGTTCTCAATTAAATGAAATTTCAAGTTGCAGATTCAATGAACAGTACAAAGAGTTTATTATTTCCCCAGGAACTGCGTTCTCTTACCTGCACAGTCATAGAGTACATTGATCTCATGAACATCCAAGTCAGTGAATCCGTCTCTTTGTCCTAGGGGACGGTTGGGATCCAGTATGGACCGAATGGTGTCCTTACCATTTTTGCTGAAACTCTTACGCCCGTAGTGCATGATGGAGTCAAAATCATACGGGATCTTTAGCAGGTCAATATCGCGATGGTTGTACTTGTTAAAGTTATGGTCTTCATCTAGAATGGATTTCAAAAGTAATAAACAAAAATTGTGATTTGTTGTTCTGTACAATAAGTTTTTCTTGAGTTTTTTTTTCTTCTTCTTCTTTTTTTTGCTTTGTTTTTGTTTTGCTTTTTTGCACGTTCATTGTCTTGTAAATCAAATCATTTCCATATGAGAGGCTGTGCTCTACGACTCGTTTTTCAGAGGTAAAAAGCAACGTATTAAGCTGCGGCATAAAAGGATTAAAGCTCTCGGCTAATTACATTGCTCTATGTTCTCCCAGAGGACCTCCACATATAGATTTCTGTCAGGTCGTGACTGTTCATGCCAAAAACCGGTTGCATGCATAAGTTCGTGCATTATTGTCCCTTTGTGGTTGCAACCGGGGCCCAGTGACAGCTGCTGACCAATTCCTGTCATCCAATACTGACGGCCAACTGCTGACCAGCACCTGATAAACAAAATCGCGACTAACATCAGAATGGGTCTCAGAATGGTTGACTAAGAAATCCTTCTCAGAGAGTCAGAACTTATTATCAAAATGTTAAAGAAGCTAGCGCTATGTCTCGACAAAATCATTTTTGATAAGTACCCAGGAGGGTTTACGTGCCGTAGCTAGATAAAGAATTCTCAAACACATTAAGAAGGAATCCGCCAGAAGTTCGTGAAACAAGCGGACAAAAACTTTGCATCGAGATTATTCAATTTGTATTGCAAACTTCTGTGCGACTGTTTTAAATACATTCTCAAAACAGATCATTTCTAGAAACATCAAATTTCGAAAACAAATTTTGAAGCTCATGGGGAAACACTTGAAAGCACTGGTGAAATGAAACACAATTTCTCTGAAATTTGAAATTTATTTTTTCGAGTTCCGTAAGAAATTGTTTCCGGTGTTATTGCAGGCAACTATTTATGCCTTTAACCTTAAAAAATGTAGAAAGGACTGTAAAAAAATTAAAATTATTCTGGTACAAGGTTTTTGTCCACTAAAAGCAGGATTTCGTCTTAATAACTCATTCAGTGGATTCAAGCTTGAATCAGTGTTCAAAACAATGTTAGAGGAATAGACCTTGATTCTGTGTTAATAACATTGGACTATAAAAATTACTCTTTTGGATTCCAGAAACCCTAAAATATTACAGGCTAAGGTTTAGGACAAGAAACCATGCTTAAAAGGTACAGATAAATTAAAAGTAACAAATAGTGTAAAGATTGTGGCAGATTGAGAGGTTGGACGATAAACTCGAAAAAGCCTGGATAACGTTTTGGAGAAGCACTTTCAATGAGGCAAGCCCAAGATTTTATAACAGAAAAGAAACTTCAGCTCTAGAAATTGAATTTATACTATTCAAAAGCTAGATACCCCAGTTGGAACTATAAATACCTCCACACTCTCCCCTCCTGTGAATGCTTTATACTTCACTGGGACTGCAGGTAGTTTAACCACCCCCCTCCCCCTCTCTCCCCGGTAGTTTGATAGTGACAACTTGACTTTGTGCTTACCCTTTATCGTGAATGAATAGAATAAACAAAGGCTCGTTGGTCCTCTTGACAAATCTCAGACACGTGCGGTTTTCAAATTCGGATATAGCTTCTTGAATAGTTGATTTGAAGCTCTCTTGAAGGCAACAGATAAATCAAATATAAGATATTATCCTCCTCTAATATAGAATTAACCAGTCACTGAGGATTGACACGAAGTTCCCTTGCCCAGGTGTTTCATTCATTTTCAGAACACAAAGTTACGGTGTGACAGAGTTGTAAGACTCTTGGTGACTAGCCTCCTAGGCAGACGTTCTTATGGCTCTTCACAAATGTTCAAATGTTATTGTTTATAGTGGTCAACACCTACACCTAACTAGTTCACACGCACACCACTTAAGGACGTTCGCGCTGATTGTTTCTGTGCATCCTTACTGTGCACGCAAATTCACACGCCACGTCATGCATGAGAGAGCGCGCTAAGTAAAATGTAAACTGAAAAATGATAGGGCAGATGGCCATTGCTATAGCTTTACCTAGATTTAACGATCGTGGACGTTCGATGACCCCTATTTTTCTTTTGATGGATCATTTTCTCTACTGATTTTCTACGCTTAGCGAAAAAAGGAAGGAAATCTATCGATTAGAAGTTTGAATATTTGCAAAATGCGCCATCGAATTCCGTTCTTTTTAGCTCTTCGTTTATTTGTGTGGCGGTTTCAAATGCCTCTTGAAGGGTTACGTTTTGTGAAAACGTTGACAACGGCTTCACTTATACAAAATATTACTAGGATAGTTGTCTCCGTCGATTCATCTCAGTTTGATATTTTAAGCTAAAACCCCTGCAGATCATGCCGATTAACACCTTTACACCAAATTTCCAAAATCAGACTAGTTTTCCACACGCTTTATCTCTGAAACGAAGTCCGTGGCCCCCAATTATTTTTTTCATTTTTGAAACAGGTAATTCATTATCTGTACATGCATGTCCGCAGTATATGTTTGAAGAAAATTTATCGAGTAGAACATTTTCGCGCGAACGTCCTTAAACTGAAAGAAACATATATATCAACTAAACATTATAGGCTTAAAAATCCCAACTGGCAGGAGGCAGACCACTTGACTCTTTACAAGCATGACCGCGGAGTAGAACTAGGGTCTACTAAGAAAACAACTCCAATTAAGTGGTCAGAGCGGGACTTGAGCCCGCGACCTCCGGAGTTCAAGTCCGGCGACTCTAACCACTCGGCCACGCTGCCTCACGCAATCTTGGAGAGGAAACTGAATTTCCCATGTCACCAGGTACACCATGTGTTGTAAAAATCTAGTTGCTCTTTTCAGTGCGGTATTTTGTTTTAAACATAATCCGATACCATGCTGATGGCTCAGTTTTGTTTTCTTATATAGAGAACATATATTCGAGAACCGTGCACAATAGAACGATCGAAAAAGGTAATCGTTTTCTTCGAAAACACATAAATTTGTCAACTGTTCAGAGAACAGAAATTTGCAAACGACCTATTAACGGACGCTCTAGTAAAAAAATGGCGTCATTCACATCACATGCTCATGAGCAAATGGCCAGACGGTTATGACGTTTTCTCGTAGGTGTATCAGCAGAGAAAACGGGAAAAACGCTTCGCAGACGATGGGGTGGATGTGAGGACACTTTTGATGCGCTTCTATGCAAAGACCCCTGATTACTGAAAATTACTGTGTGGCCTTAGTACATACGGACATGTGTTGTTTTTGTTGTTAAGCTAATGCATTATCAAACTATTGCAGTGCACGAGCTAGCCACGAGGTTCCTTTGTCAAACCTGGAAAGCCTCTGTGATACGCATAAGGAATAACACGAGTGACCCACAACTTCTTCCGGTCACGTGCAGCGTTTCGTTTCCGTCTCACAGATATCGGTGCGCCATCGACATCTCCGTCATTGCTTAAATCGACGTTATCATCAGGACTTAACTTGATATCTGCCTCGTACATGTTTACGTCATTACCTAAATGAAAACAAGACGTTTGATATTTTCTCACAATTATTCTGAAATTGATGAGGTCTCAATCAAAATTTTTATTCAGCAGCATTTGGTATACACCAGTGCCCAAGCAAACTATCTGGTATATTCAATACAAAACACTATTTTTTATTAGAAAATAGCCCAAATAAAATACGCGCTCTAATTGGTTTAAAATCGTGTTTCTATTAAACAATTAGATTATAAATGAGCTCGAGATTTCTATCGCGTGGTGCGCTCTCGTCAACTATCGGGGATAGAAATCGAGAGCGAATAATCTAAACGTTTAAGTATAAATCTACTAGTCGTTCAAAACTTTATCTAAATCCAACTCACAGACACCTCAAACACGCAAAGAAGCCGCCGTCATTTTGTTAAAAAGCGTACACCGCTATGCTACACACTATCTACGACAGAATAGATAGTGAGTAGATTAGCCAATCAGAGGACAGCATTCGTGGTAGAACGCCAGTAGATTTATACTAAAACTCGACAGAAACACGGTACATGTTTTCTATTTCTTTAAATCTTACTGGAATAAGACACAATATAGTGATGTACGATTTTTCTCTCACTGTCAACAATAAACTTCACTTTCTTATAGAGTTTGGGCGATCTGCGCATAAGAGCTGCCCGTTCCAGCCCCTCGTTGACCCCTCGTTTCAGTAATCTCGATCATTTTGGTCCCTGATAACAAGGATCAAGGGCTCAGGATTACTCCGGAGACAAATGAGTTTTGAGATGTACGTCGACACTACAACGACTGTCCAGGGTTAGATTTACATCGCGAGAAAGGGTTGCTTTTGAATTAACTTTGCAGATTGCCTTCAGTTCTCAAGTAAAGGAGAAGGTCACTCCAAAAAGCTCACTCTTTTGTCTTCACCTACAGCAAGTAAACATTCAGCTTTTTCAGTCACCGACGTTTCAGCCTCTGAAGTGCCTGCTATGCTGAAGAAATTCGTCTCGAAAGAGGCGACTTCGGAGGCCGCCATTTTGAATTGTACTTGGCAGTCAGGCCACGTTTATGTGACATCATTCCGTCCGACTCGAAATTGGCGGCAAGGAGAAAAACCTGCAACTGATTTTGTATCCTTCACAAGGTCAGCAAAATGTAGTTTTCCAAGCGATTATCTACTTCACTATCTTTACTGCTATCATTTTCGGAGTTTGGAGCAAGTTTGGCTCAAAATGATACGGCTCAAGAGCAGCCCGAAAGCCATTTGGACAAAATCTGTTGGACGGAATGGCTTCACGAAAACGCGGCCTGGCCGCTGAGTGCTGTTCAAAATGGCGGCAACGATGTTGAATTTTTGGCTTCTTTGGAGACGAATTTCGTAAAGAAAACCTGCACTTTAGAGGCTGACACTTCGGTGAGGGGCTAACCTTAGTGCGAGGTTTTTATTAGCGTTGACAAAGGATATACGTTTCTTGGAGTGACCTTCTCCTTTAATGAATATTTCGACGATGTTTATAATTTGTCTGATAGTAACTCTGTATTCCTACCCGAGTAACTGTTGCCTAGGTAAAAATGAACAAATGAGTTTCACAGATGGAAGACCCCTTGAAGATTTGTTTTTCAAAGAGAGGAACTAGTTAATGTGGACTTTCTGGATGTTTTCTGTTTGGTTTGTTGTTGTTGTTGTTGTTGCTGTTGTTGTTGTTGCAATTGCGGTTGCGTCCTTGTAAGGTCTTGCATGTTAAACTGTTCAGTAATAAACACCGTAATGACCAAAAGATGTTTAGGAGGATATAGAGATCATATGAAACCAAAGCACGATATATAGATGCTTTATTGATTACAAAATAAAAACGTTAATTCTAAACTAGGCCCGATTGAAATCAATGATATGAGGAGATGTCATTTGCTATCATTAGGTGCAATAATATAATTGCAAGATCGCAATAAGATTACGATGTCCCATGTCGTCCAACATTTAGGAAGCAGATCAATCTTCGTAAGATATGAGCCTTATCTATAGGGAAAACAAAATTCGTATTTTTCTTGCCTTGTGCAAAGTGCTGTCAAGTTGATTGCAGAAGACCAGATAGGTTTTTTCCTTTTCACTTTTGTTTACTTTTAATTGTCATCTAGACAGCGATTGTTTAACATAAGGCAATTAGAAACATGTGCACTTAGAAGAGGTAAAAAGGAAATATTTAACACACGTAACATCATATATTCTGTCACTTACCTTTATTGACTTTTACGATGTGATCCAAAATTGTATCATCACCAGAAAGTTGGTCTTTATCGTCTTGCATGACATTATTTCCTCCATTCGCTGAAAAGTGATCCAAAAACGTTACGAAAGATATTGCCATTTTTGCCGACAAATCCACGGAAATACTTGTTGGCAATTACGTGGTTACCAGGGGCAACGAACAATCGAGCTCTCGCCTCAAACAGAATGCCTCTTTTATCGTGTTTGTCGTTTGAAAATAAATAGGCACATAAGATTTATCCATGAAAGCTCTGAATGCAAATTCGTGGTAAAAATGTTACTTCTGGGTACATTTTCCCTGTACTGTTATTTGGTTTTACCTTCTTACACTTATATCAGTCTCAGCTGGACTCAATTTGTGGTGATACTAGCTCGTATAAAATTTTCGCCAATAATTTTAGTGGTACTGTAAACAAATCTGAATTAGATATACCCGAAAGAAAATTTCTGAAATATAAACTTTTTGGACTGGCCTAGCCAACAGGGATGCTTATAGGGAAACCTTATGAATATCTATTGTTGATATACCGCGCTAAACACCTTTGTGATATAGTAACGCCGTTTTTATATAGGTTCACTTGGTCCAAGAGAGACCAAAACTCGCGTTTATGACTCTCTGTTAAACCCCCCAGCACTGAGGGACTTGCCTTTTCGACTTTTATATTAACGATATCGACTACTTTGGGACACGAACATACATTTTTCCCGTTTCAAGTTTGCCTCCTTTACAGGACGTTCTAAGTATAGCAGTTTACTCCTAACGTAAGTAAGGAATGCCACAAAACAAAAAGGAAAGTGACCTACACAACTGATGTATGTCGATGGGACTGCATAACGAGTGGACAGCACAGAGCAGGATAACAGCAATAATCTTGATCCCTTCCATGGCCGAGCAAACGTAGAAAGTGATCTTTGCTTGTCAAGCTGAGGTTTCAAAACACAAATGCCGGTCAATACAGTTCGTTTCCTCTACAGATGTTAAGGTCCCATGAGCTAGTAAAGAGGAAGAGGGAACCAGCGCAGGAAGAGATTAACAGAGGCTTGGATAACAGGCTATTAACTCTGATGCAAAATAGATATATTTTGACAGCTAAACTGTTTGTTTAAGCGGAATGTAATTTCGGCATATGTTGCTAACTTGATTTTGAGAAGCTAAAGATATCATTTAGGAAAATACAATAGTGCTGTGTTGCCTGGCTAGATTGGACATCCACAAAGAATGTTTACTCTTTTGCCGATTGCGGAAAACGCATCAAGCATCAGTACATGCTGGGACATGAAACAGAAAAACAAAAACAAGACCTGTAAGATATGGGGATTTATTTCATGGTGTTACCGCGTTTACCCAGGGAAGTAACCAATTAGTTAGTGTCATTGCAAGTGTGCAATAACAGACGTATTTCGTAACTCCTCGTCAAATTTGCTGATAAATAATAATAACGAACAACTTACACTGTTGTCATGTCATGGATATAGTTTATTTCGCCCTTTCGTGATTTTAATTAATTTTCAAATATTCATTTTTTTTTTTCGCTTAATTTGTGCGTGTATTTACCTATGTCTTCACCATTATCACGTCATGCGATTTTGAGAGATTTCAAAAATTAATTAATGTCTGCCTTTCTGGGCCATAGCTGACTATCCTGAATC